GCACAACGCATCTTTCTAAATGAGGTCTAATAAACTAACAATAGTAACAATTAGAACTAAGTTTTACGACTTGAACTCGCTTAAAACTTCGTATATTCGCTACAAACAATCCTTGTACAATTATTTTGTAAGAAGTTTGGGCTTTTAAAGTGGATTCTCAAGTAGTCGTAAACCCTTCCGTGTTACACCACTAGTTTAGAAGTACCACATCTCAACACTGACCCATGTCTTGTGCAGGTCTTACTCGGCACTTAACTAACTATGCTAGTAAGAACTAATTGTTTGGACTTAACTAACGACTGTGTTAATCAGAAAATTGTATTGTTTGTTTCGTTTGGTATTGAAGGAAGTTTAATTGAATAATTTTGTTTTTTATTTTATTTATTTTTTTGGATGTTCATCTTTTTTTATTATAAGTGTAATAAAAGAAAACATTAAATTTCGCCTTATTTAAAAAAAAAACCTATAACGATGAAAACCTCATCAACATTTTCAAGGTCCAAAACTGCAACTGATGTTGATAAAACACATTTAGTATCGGCAAAGAAATAAAGTAAGTTGTAAATGTGGGAGAGCCATGCTTTAGCACGTATGGGTCGGCTCAACCGAAGTGACACCACGGCCTAACAGAAAACGGCGTAAAACAACCACAGCCGTCGTGTTGTGAGGTTACCGGAGGCCCAACCCTTCCCTTCCCCCGATCCCTCCCCAATCCCTAAATCTCCAAAACTTTAATCCCTAAAAGGTCGGCAACGCAATCGTAACACCTCCGTTGCAGGTGTCCATGGGCGGCGCTGATTGCTTATTATCAGGAAATCAGTCTGCTCGTTCGCGCTATTATATAATAAAGTAAAAATATACCAACTTTCAAGAATGTACTTTACATTCTTCCTAAACTCGGCTTTGATTAAATTAGTTACCTACGAATATTAATATAAAGTTGAAACTTCAACACTAGTACCATCATATAAAATGTTGAAAAGCTTTTCGAATTCTATTCGGATTTAATTAAAGTTATGACTAGACCGCATCGTTCGGTTCTGTCACTACAATCCGGTTCCGTACTCATGTTATCTGCCTAACGTTCACTAAAATCCATTTATTTCACAAACTATGCCACAAAAAGTCGCGTGAAAATACACAAAATGCTGGACACCAGGAAATACGCTCAAACAAAGAGTGTTTTAGTGAAACGTGAATTAATATATTGGAAATTGAACTTAGTTACGGAAATTGACCGATTATTCCGATGGATAAATTATATTTTTGAATACTTCTCTATTAACTTCATATTTTATACAGATAAACTTGAATATTGCTTGTAATTTAACCACTGCCACATACATTTGTCGAGTGCTTACGTGACGGTATTAAAACGCCCATACACTAACAAATATTTAATTAAAAATGGTCAAATAAGTAAATCTACGGTACGAATATTATAGAGGTAAAATTTAGAAGTTTCCATGTAAGGGGTAATTTTAGGAACCGCTGCCTCGTTGGATTTCCAAATTTTTATGCTGATAGATAACTTCGACATTATAGTACTATAAATTGTTTTACGTGTTTACTACTTTACTTTATTTGTTACTTGTTCTACGTATTTTAGTCAAACTATCGCTTTAGCAGCTGCTGTTTTTTTATATCCCGGGATACTTTGCTTTTACCTGTGCGGACTCGCGGGCGAAAGCTAATTATCAAAACACAATCTATAAATCAAAAACAATAACCAAACATATAAATAAAAACTACTGCATTTGGTTGTATTATAACTAATTAACAAACTCCTTCAAAAAATTACATAGACAACAAACCAAAAAGGATGTTAAAAGAGAAATACCTTTATTTACAACATTTTTGAATCATAATTCAACTTAAGTATGAAATACAACTAACAAATAGAGCTGACTTTATGTATTTCTCCACTTTTATTGTTTAAATTTTATTTTACGACGCTCAAGTTTACGGCTCGCGGTCACCGCGGGGATCAAAGCACAATAATCCGCTGAGTTAGTTTCGTTTTATTGGATTTACTTGTCGTAGTTGATGGTTATTTGGGAGAGCATTTAGAATGAAGTGGGAAGCGAACGAAAATGCAAACATATTTTGAACCTTATTGTAACAGATTTTTAGTACTGACTTCTTCTATTATTGTTTAATTGTTAACTTTTTAAATACGTTTCTTATGTGGGTAATTGTTGTATAATGCTATATTTGCTAGTAGACTATGCGTTTATCTGGAAGCGTGCATACTGCACAAATATATATATGTAAACATATTGTGCCTCTTTTTGTTGACAAATTTTTAACTGTTAGATACTTTTACAAAATTTTTTTAATTAGTTAAAGTACTAAAAATAATGTCAAAATTATTATTAACTTTTGGCACTAAACGTAAAATACGTATAACTATGTGGGTGTAATTGAAACAATAACCAACCTCTTTCAAAACAGACGTGTAGGTCTAGCTAGCTCTTTCAAAACTGTTGCAATAATTCTAAATAGTACCTAGTAGTTCATTATTTTATTGAACACACACAACTTGGTAGCTAAAAAGTACAACAAAGTTTAGAGTACAAGTAAGTAAGTAATTTAGATTGTCCACAATTTCGTTTGTATGGAAGATGTAGTTAGTTGGAAGTTGTTCTCTTCGTGGAACGTATAAACAGTACAACTGCCGTAACGAATGCATTTGGGCCGCCTGTAGCCAACTGCAAACCGCAATCTCGCCTTGTCTTGTCTCTATCTAGCGTAGAAATGACTCAACCTGTCTGTCTAGTTTCACTAAGGGTGCAACTCCATTATTGGACATTGACAAAACATCCCAATGCTTTCCTTTGAAATGATATGAGAAAAAGGTATAGAGACTGATTTTAAACGTTAAATTGTCAGTCCTTATAAAACAAATCTTCATCCTATAGAAGCCCTGGAAGCAAGCGTTTACGATAGGACAGAAAATAAATAACTGAAACTATAAATAGAATAGTATTTTAATTGCAGGAGAGCCATGTATACATAAAGAAGCAACTTTGATCTGAGTGATAAGTACCTCGGCCTTGCAAAAAACAGAGGGCGAAAATCAGCCTTTCAAATCAAATAAAAAGAAAATTGGAAAATTAACAAAAATACTACTACATGTTGAAATTATAAATTCATTGACTTTTTATTCACTCGATACAACTGGAGTTCATATGGTTATAGAATTTTGATGACCATAAACGCAATTATGTTTGCAGCTGCTGGACTCCAAATTAAAATTAATTTTGATTAATTGCCATAAAGAACCTTTTTGCGTGCGTATTTCGACGACTTCATTAATTTCCCATTAATTAACGAATGCATTGATCAATTGTTTTCCGCGTCGATTCATTTAACGTATTACGCTGAGCTTTTCTTTGTCACCTTGGTTCGTAGGTAATTTAATTATATGTCATATCCATTAAGAGCATTTCCGCAGCTCGGGTATTCACGTAAAAAATCATGGAAACTCCTAAACCGATTTTAATTAAACTATGTAATCAAACAGCTAGTTTTTCCAACCGTTGATTTAATCAACAATAAAAAATCATTTATTTCAATGAGACCCTTACTGGCACTTTTGAACGTCAAACAAAGTATTAAAGATATAAAGTGTCAGTATGTCGGTCAGTCCTCTTAGTGAAGCTATTTGCTCGTTCCAAAGTGTAGATTCCGATGGAGAAGAACGAGCAAGAAACTCCATGGTTACTCTGTTTAAATCAGTTTCACAAACAAATTCTTTGGTACATTAGTTGCTTGGTACAATTATGCGAGAACCTTGGGTAATTAAGGTAAAGCGACATATACATATGTGGCAAATACATATGTTTAGTTTCCAAACAAAAAAAAAACATTGTAAAAGTCAAACCCAAAGCAATGCTACGTAAACTATACCTACGTCTAACGAATATTTGATCACACGCTAGACATTTGTAAACACGATTCACCTTTTTATTGGCACCTACTTTTTTCGGAATCAGAACAAGAGTTTATTTATTTACGCGTGTATACGACTACGTTGCTCGAATATGCTTGTATGTAATGTAAATCTTATGAGAATTGTACCTATCGTTGTACAAAAATATTGAGTCTTTATATTTCTTGTAATCTGTTCTATATTTAAAATTGATTATATTGAAGTTGTCTGAAAGTTAAGTGTCTATTGACCTAGATTTTTTATCGAATTTAAACATGTTTTTCGTATATTTTTGAATGACGTCATAGTGTCACGTGATAAAAGATATATCTGGATTAATTTACTAATTTCTCTTAAATGCATCTGGAGATTATTGCTCATTCATTAACTATATGTCTATATGAGAAGAGGCTTTTGAGATTGGAATAGTAACAGAATAATATTATTTACCACAACTTAAGCATTTTGTTACAATGAGACTAATCGCTAACTTGAATGTATTGAAAAACTGACATCTACATACATAGGCTTTGTATAATGTATGTGTTCAATAGAAACATGTTTTACTAAGCGCAAAACTTCAGAACAGCTGACGGCGACGAAAATACTCAAGAAAACAAGTTAAGAAAAACAAATAGGACGGCATGAGATTTCGAATCGTATCAAAAGGACATACTTCAAAGTCTTTAGAAGTCTGTTAAACGCTAATGCTTTCTTTGTTGATAAAAAGAAGGATAGTAAAAAATATATCCAGATGTCTCTTCAGATTCAGTCTAATAGCTAAAAAAAAAATTCATAAAAATGTGCTACTTATAATTATATATTTATATACCCCACTCAAAATAGTTTTACATGTCAGCCTTATTTCGTCCTTGCAAAATAAAACAAAGATAATTATATAAATGGGCCCTGCACTCACATGCTATTTTTTTTTGCCCAGAAATAACAGTATCATTTGCACTATCATTATAATAATGAAATATTATCCTTCTACATTCTAAATTCCAATTGAATGACTAACTAAAGTTATATTTTCCTCATTACAGATAACAAGCTACCAGGACAACAAAGAACGCAAAGACATTGAAAAACCTAGTTGGAACTGGTTAGCAATGATGTCAAGTTTGAACGAGTGCAGTGATTGTGTCAGTGACAGTGTCTAGGGGTGGACACATGATGTGAACAGACAGTCGGCACAATGTGGGCGGCCCAGCTCAGCTGTATTTTCATATTGTTCGGTGAGTAATCGACCTTATACTGTGGAAGATAGTGTTAGCTATTTGCTCGGTTGGGGCGTTTGAATTGAATATTGCACAGGCAGTTGTTCCTGTTGTAGGTGTATTTGTATTTGTAGATGTCCCAACGATGACTAACACCCGGTTTCTGAAAGGCTTTTCAACGCTAAAATTAACTAATCTCCTGTTAAATTTCTTGTCAAGTCATCTGATTGGTTGTTGATAATTCAGTCAACCAATCAGATGACTTGAAAAGAGATTAAATTGATTTTAACATTGATCGGCCTTTCGGATACCGGGTGTAAGAAGAATATCCATGTTTCATACAAAGAGAATGAAATTTATTTTTACTAACATTATAAAAAGTTTGTATGGAGGGGGTAATTTTTCGAACCGCTGGTCGGATTGCCAAAATTCTTGCACTGATAGATAGCTACAATGTTTCTAAGTGCTATAGGCTATAAAAATCACACTACGAACAAATGGAGCCGAACAGCGGGTGAAACCGCGTGAGAGTTAGCTAGCTACATATTTGTTCTGGTGTTATAAGATAATCTTATATAGGGAGAGGCCTATATACAGGTCTATATACATAAAGCAGTTTTGGCAGATATAATGATGATGAATACAACATAATAATATATTACCAATTATAAAAGACAAAAATGAAACGGTAATTTATGACGTCTTTGATTATAACAAAAAAGTATCAATTACGTGACATAGTTTTGTTGGTGTGTACTCATCTTGCCCACTAATGTTGCGTGACGCAATGTGTGTTCTATAATAACAATTAAATTATATTTCAGACTGAACCACATGCCTTTACTTAACAAGGATTTTTCAACCACATAGTAATAAAAGCATGTGCGTAATATATGTATAACAGAAACACTATATCATTCCACATAGAGATAGACAGAGGAGAACTCCATCCAATTTTAACTGTCAATTGCAAAACTGAAAATGAAATTCCGAACTAATAGCTGACATCTTTTAGAATTGGGTAATTTTCAAGATTAAAAATAAATTAAATGAAATTATACAATACAATAAAAAAAAAAAAATAACTATAATTTTATTCTGCAATCCGTCACGCTATACACACTACACTCACTATATCTATACACTAAATTCTTAACAATTTTTAAGAAATAAGTAAGAAAGAAAGGCAAAGTATTTATTCGCGTCCCGGTTTTTAAAGTAAGTTATTTGACGCAATGTATTATAATTATTTGGAATTTCACACAAATGTCATAGTAAAGTATCGTTTTCGACATTTGTACAAAAGTATGGAAGTTGAATACTACCATATTCTAGAAACAAGGTTTTCTCGTCCTGACATGAACTTCAAGATACATTCACAATAATCACTTATATTGATCGAAACCCAATATTGTTGTTTATGTATGAAACACGACATATACGACGATCCAATTATAACTTCTTTCTATAAACAAAACATGGATCTTAAAGGGCATTACCCTTAACAAAGGTTAACATATTTTACACGAGATATCTTGTATCTTGGCTTTCCCACATTAAGTGTGGGAGAGCCAAGCTTCGGCACGAATGGGTCAGCTCGACCGGAGTGATACCACGGCCTCACAGAATACCGGCGTGAAACAACCCACAGCGTTGTGTTTTGCCATGTGAGTGAGGTTACCGGAGGCCCAATCCCTCCCCTTACCCTATCCCTTCCAAATCCTTATATCCGCAAAAGGCCGGCAACGCACTCGTAACTCCTTTGGTGTTGCGGGTGTCCATGGGCGGCGCCGATTGCTTGCCCTCAGGTAGTCCGTCTGCTCGTTTGCCGACTTATACCATAAAAAAACATAGATAGATATACAAACTACTGCACATCCCTTTTACTTCAAAAACCTTTGAAACACTAAGTTTATTTTATTTCTTGTTTTCTTATACCTCACCTGAACAGTTAATTATAATACTCAGCTTAAAATAAACAGTGACCTTTACGCTAATTATATTGTACATTTTTATTTAACATTTAACATTAAGTTGGAGGTAAATGTGAAGTATAATTCTGTTAGACTTTATCGGGTTAATGTTAAGACCACAGATGGCTGCTTCGTTTCTTGAGGAGAGAAAATCGATGACCTTTCTCGCTCAGGATAAAGCGAGAGGGAGTGTCAGAATTTTACTAAGTATAACACTCCCGTGCTTTCTCCTGCTCCAGTGCAAAACTGTCTTAACAACGGGAGATGAGATCTTATAGTTCTAGTAATGTCTTTGACTGTCGACAGAAAACTATTGAAAGCTATTATTCATTCGCTATCGTAAGTCATCGGTGGGATACGTGGCGGTTACCGTGTTAATTAGTTTTTCAATTGTGGTGATTCGAGACAAAATAGATGTATGATGGATTAAGTAGACAGTAGCATTGTTTGGCCATTGAGCCGATAAAAACAAAGCCAGGCTATGAGTTCAATGAAAATGATATTACGATGATATTTACGATTAGTACGACAATAAATACTGTCTCTACTGTACTGTACTGAGTATCATTTTCTTTTAAACTGTCTACCGAATAATTGTATTACTTGTAGAAGTGCATACATATATACTCCTATGTATACATAGATATATAGAAAAAAGAGCTGAAACAAAATATAAATTCTTTCCAAGCTCAATAACAGTGTTTAGAGGTAAACAATAAACAAACCTCGAGGTTCAGTTTATTATTGTTTCTATTTCTAAATGTTTCCAGTTAAATCTATTATTACTTAAATTACTTTACAACTAATACATTTTACACTTTTTAGATTATAAATAAGTTTTTTTTATGTAATAAGTCGGCAAACGAGCATACGGATTACCTGATGGTAAGCAATCAGCGCTGCCCGTAGACACCCGCAACGGAGGAGTTACGAGTGAGTTGCCGACCTTTTAGAGATTAGGGATTGGGGAAGGGTCCGGGGCGGGGAAGGATTGGGCCTCCTGTAACCTCACTCACACGGCGAAACACAACAATGTGGTTGTTTCACGCCGGTCTTCTGTGAGACCGTGGTAACACTCCGGTCGAGCCGACCCATTCGTGCCGAAGCATGGCTCTCCCACACTTAGATAAGTTTAAAATTCTTGAAAATATAAAATGAAAGCAAAAATTCCTTTCCATTGAAGGGTCATCTAAAAATCTTTGATAAAAAAATATTTTCAATATTTATAAATTGGAAAGCGGCTCTGACACTAACAATATACCGTATTATTAACATACAAAGGTACTTGTGTGGATTTTATACAACAATCTTGTTATTTTTACGATATAGTAAGCATAGAATGGAATGTTTTCTCAGTTTTAGGATTTCATGTTATCATAACGCTCTATCAAGCAGACTTTTTACTTTGTAACGTTAATGAAACGCGTACCTGTGTGAGTTGTTTGAAATATACCCAAAACAAATGGGTACTTTCATCTTTTCTATACGACGTTTATAGAGATAAACGTCGTACTCGCCCAAAGGTTAAGACGCCCGCTTCTCATGCAAAAGGCGGGTTTGAAACCTGGCAAGTACCAATCTGACTTTTTCAGAAATATATTTAATTTCTAGGTGTATTTAGCACCGCAGAGCTAAGGTGAAGTGAGACATCGCTTAGAAACCTGGACTAATAATTTCTAATTATACATACATAAGTTTGAAATGGCCAATCTACCGTGAGCCAGCGTGTTAATTAATGCTCAAACCTTCTCCGTGTGAGAAAAGGTCTTTGCTCAGCAGTGGGCACTTATATACTGATGATGATGACTTGCATTGTTAAGTAGTGATATAAATAATTCGCCTATCGAAAGTTAAACCGTACTATGTGATATCTCATCACGCCACATCGTACAATGCGTTTGACGCGGGTTACCGCGTTTACTTTTCAGAAAAACAAACCTAGAAATCATACTAACTGTTTAAAAATAGATATCTTGTAATGACAATTGGGGTCGTGGTGGCCCGGAGGGTTAATGGTGGCCCGGAGGTTAAGGAGCCCGCTTCTCATGCATGAGGGTATGGGTTCGAAACCTGGCAAGTACCAATGTAACTTTTTCCGAGTTATATGTACTTTCTATGATTATTTAGACACCACTGACATACGGTGAAGACATCGTGAGGAAACCTGGACTTATACTTTCTAATTATAAGTTTGAAATCGCCAAACCGCATTGAGCAAGCGTGGCGATCAATGCTCTAACCTTCTTCGTATGAGAAGAGGCATTTGCTCAGCAGTGGGCACTTATAGGCTGATGATGATGAATGACAACTGAGACTGATGCATGAGGTATACGTACGACGTTCAATCCAGTCACAAAGTATGGTAATACTTGACTGGATTGAATACAGAATGTTACTCTATTTTTAGCGTAGGTAAGAATGCGTGTCGTGGCGTTGTGTGTAGGCACCATAGATTACCAGCCCCTAAGTCCAGCTTCCATTAGAACGATGCCTTCCAGCAATAAAAACTCGCTTTGTTTCCCGTCACGTCTCGTTATTTTTTATTCTCCCACTTTTTAAACATTAACCGGGGCATTCCGCAAATATTTCATTATGTAGTCGGCCTATTGAAAAAGAAATTTCTGTTGTAACTGAGATAAAAGGGTTTTCGTTTGTTTGAATTTGAAACAAAATTGCGATTAGGTCATGACTGTTCTCTTTATTGTTCATCTGAAGGCAAACAATGTGTTTTTATAACTGAATTATATACGGCCATTGTTGTATTAACGATATCAAATTACATTCGCAGCTGCGTAGCGCCTAAAAATAAGCTGAAATGAATATTTTTTTTGCGTTTTATTTCCTTTTTTTGTAGAGTTTGGAAATAGATGTATTCTTTTTGCTCGGGAAGAGGTTAAGATATTTTCCATTGTACAGACAGTGAGCTACACATTTCAGTGGCCACCGGTCGGTACGTAGCAATCATCTGTGTGCTCAACATTGACCCAAAAAAGTCTAACAAAATTATGCTCAACATTCATGTATTCTATAAGAATATCGTCTTTT